GGAGCAGAACTGGGGGGCGGGGGGACCTGCCTAAGTCCACCTTCTTTCTAAGAAGCATGAACCAGATGCAGATTGAAGTTGGTGCCCAAATTTCCACAGGCTAAATTGTTAGGATGGTAAAGAAGCCGTGTTTACTTTAAAGAAAAGCAAAACAAAACAAAACAAAACAAAACCCACTTCTTTTTATCCTCTTTTTCTAGAGGGACTGAATTCTAAAAGAAATATGCTGATACTGATTTTATCTGGTTTCTCGATCACACTGATGGAGTATCATTTCAGGTAAATATAAAATACTGGAGACCCTTGGTCCTGAAAGATGGGCAAAGTTTGTTTAAAGTGATTACAACTTTATCCAAAAGATATTGATAGCATTCCTCCAGTCTATCAAAAGTTACTTTTCAGGCGGGCCAAATAGCTCAGTGGATTATCGCGCCTGCTTAGGCAGACTCAGGAGCCCTGAGTTCGATGCCCGGGCCTGCTGTGCTGGCCCTGCCCCCCGGGCACGCTGAGATGGCAGTTGAGACTGGGCGTGGTGGTGCGCGCCTATAATCCCAGCACTTGGGAGGTTGTAAACAGTGAGAATCACTAAGAGTTCGATCTATGCAGCGAGACCCTGTAGACCCTACCCTAAAATTAAAAAAAAAAAAAAGTGACTTTTCATCTTTTAATGCTGATTGATCTTGGTGCTGAGCCTCCCTCAAGGTGGTGGCAATGACCTGGAATCACTCTTCTCATGGAGCTTTACATTTGGAGTGGAGTAAAGAAAGAAATATGAAAGGTCAGGGATGTTACATTCTATGTAAGTATAGGAAAGAGAAAGAACTGAGGCAAGGGAAGAGGATAGTTTTAGGCTATTTTAGATCAGAATTTAAACCATATCAGAGTTCTAGCCTATGAGAACACAGCACCAAAGGCAGCCTGCTGTAGAAAAAAGAATGTAGCTTGCAGCTCATTCCTGCAATTTCAGTTACTCAGAAGGCTGATGCAGGAGAATTTCAAATTCTACTTCATCCTCAGCAATTTAGCTAGATTAATTAATTAATTAATTTATTTTTCAGAACCAGGGTTTGAACTCAGACCCTTGCGCTTGCCAAGCAAGCACTTATTCTACTGAGCTATCTCCCCAGCCCCAATTTAGCTAGATTCTATCCCAAATATTTTTTAAAAAAAAATTTAAGTGTTGGGAGGGGCCGGGCAGATGGCTCAGTAGAATAAGTGCTTGCCTGGCAAGAGCAAGAGTCTGAGTTCAATCCCCAGTTCTGGGAAAAAAAAAAATTAAAGTGTTGGGGATGTACTTCAGAACTCCCTGGGTTCAATTCCTAGGACCGAATGAATAAATAAATAAATAAGCAAGCTATACTGTAGAATACTTTTTTCTTTTCTTTTCTTTCTTTTTTTTTTTTTTTTTGAGACAGTGTCTCCATACGCAGTTCAGGCTGACTTTGAGCTCACTTTATAGCCCAGGCTGGCAGTAATCCTCCTGCCTCAGCCTCCTGAATGCTGGGGTTACAGGCATGCACCACCATGCCCAGTTTGGAGAATGAATTTTTTAACCTGCTAAAATTCCCTCACTTTGAAAAATTCTCATTCTAACCTCTTCTGTGCCCTTCTCTTCTGGTCTTTATAAGTAATGCAATGCTTATTTAAAAAGCAATTGCATTGTAAGAGTTAATGTCTTTTAAGATCAACCTTACTGCTTTGTTAGTGTAGTGTACAGGTAATTTGCCCTCAAGTACTACATTTTAATGAAAAAGATTCAGGGCCAATGGTAATAGTTTTGTTTGTTTGTTTCTGTTCTTTGAGTCAAAGTTTTGCTATGTAGTTCAGGCTGGTCCTAAACTCACTACAGCCCAGGCTGGTCTTGAACTCATAGCACCCTACTGCACCACTTTCTTCGTGCTGAGGTTACAGGCATACACATCACACCTGGCTTTACATTTTCTTTTCTTCTTTTTTTCTATATTTAGGACAGGGTCTACAGGGTCTTACTACCTAGATTGGACTCATAGTGATTTTCCTGTTTAACAGCCTCCTGAATGCTGGGATTACAGGCATGTGCCACCATACCCAGTCACCGTCTTAGCACACCCCGGGTCAGGGCTGGCAGGGCATGCTGGGGAGCAAACCCCAGCCACTGTGCTCTGCCTAAGCAGACACTTTAGTCAGTTGGCCCTTCTTTTTTTTAAGATAAGGTCTCGTTATGTAATTCTGGCTGACCTTAAACTCACTGTGTAGCCCAAGCTGGCTATGACCTCACAGTGATCATCCTGCCTTATCCTCCTGAGGGCTGGGATTACAAGGGTGTGCTACCCCCCCCCAGCACAACTGTAGTAGTATTGATGTGGTGCGTGCGTGTGTGTGCACACGCATGTGGACGTGTGTCACCAGATTAAACCCAGGGCCTTCACACTGAACCACATCCCTACTCCTAGCAAGGCTCAAATTTACAATCCTCCTGCCTTGGCCTAGTAGAATGTTGAGATTACAGGTGTGTTCCACCACACCTGGCAATGTCACCTTTTTGAAGATAATAAAAGGTTATGTTAGTTTTTAAAAACTTAAGAAATAGACCATAAACTAACACCAGGCCTGGATCTTGGCATTCACCCCCTATCTCTACCATTCTGTCTGTCCCAAGGTACCCATTTAATGTGCTCTGGTTAATAAGTAAGTGTACAGATGCATTTGAATTCTAGATTTCTTATTATAGTAGAAAATTTTTGTCAAATTGAAAGCCAAAATTACTTTTATTTCTCCTATTTATTTAAAGCATAAAGAATCACCTACAGAAGATGTATATCTGCTGGTAAGAATTGATCCTATGGCTACTCTTAACTACTCAGGGCAAAGCAGATAGAGCTGAGACATCTTCTAACAGTGAGGTGAACAGAGGAAGCAGGGGCCGGGGAGATGGCTCAGTGGAATAAGTGCTTCCTTGGCAAGTGCAAGGACCTGAGTTCAATCCCTGGTTACACACACACACACACACACACACACACACACACACACCCCACCAAGAACAGAGGAAGCAGAACAGAGTGAATTCTCTAGAGTCACATGATACATGGACCTGCCTCTTGGGTTTCAGCTCAGAAGCCTGTAGGCTTATGCCTGCATACATGTATGTGAGTTTGTCCAGACATACGTGTGTATATGCCTCCAAAGTGCGTTCATCCTCCACACTCGCTTGCTCGCCCTGGACAAGTTGCGGACACTAATTTTAGGTGGCTCCTCAGCACAATATTTTTCAGATTATAATTGTTAGCTTTAGTCAGCCATGCTAGCATTGTAGAGGATCCCAGTTAGGGGAAATTGCAAAAGAATACATGTTTTACAAGTTCTCTGTCATTGTATATTTTTAATTAATTGGGCATGGACAATTTGGGATTCCTAGAGAATCCCAAAACAAAATGTCTTGCCTAGTGATCTCTCTGAAAACATCGCAAAGGGATACACTCATTTCTTAACCATTTTATTTCGAAATAGAGATTCCAGGATGTTGCAAGAATCATGGGTATCATTCACCCACTTTCCCCATTGTTACATCTTATACAATTGTAGCAGTAGTAATAATTAAATTCAGAAAATTCACATTGAGACAAGATTATAGATAGATATGGATATGCCTATAATTTTGTCATTTTATGGATGTTTTGTGAGATTCCATAGTATGTGACCTACTGGTAGAGCTTTTTCACTCTTAAAAAAAGCATAATCCCCTTTGAGATTCAAGCAGATTCCTGTGTTCATTAATAGTTTGTTCTTTTTTACTCTAGTGTAATAGTCCACAAACAGATGTATGAAAATTTGCTCAACCAGGGATGTTTTGGTTGACAGATTTTCTTTTTTTGACTGTTCTTTTCTAAAAACACCTGGAAAATATTGTGCCACTTTCCTTTGGCCTCCGGGATTCCTGATAACAATCCACTTACTTCAAATTGTTTGCCCTTACGAGTAGTGGATCCTTTCTCTCTGGCTGCTTTCTAGACTTTTGTTATCTTTAACTTTCAGAAATTTGTCTCTTGTACGCATTGGTCAGTTGACCTTGAATAGGGTTTACCTGACTTCTTTAATCTGTTGGGTTTTTTTGCAAAATTTGGAGAATTTTCCATAGTGATTTTTAAGACCCTATTTCAGCCCTACTGTCTTCCTCCTCCACTTTGGAGACTCCAGTCATAGGAACACTAAATCTTTTCTTATACTCCCACTTGCCCTGATGCCGTTGTTTTGGTTGTGTTTTGTTTTAAGATTTTTTTCTGTTGATCAGGCCAATTAATGTTTGTTTTCGCTTCAGCTCCACTGATTCTTCCCTTCCTCTCTTCCATCCTCCTTTAATTTTCTTGTGTTTAACTTTCAGAGTTTCCATTTGGTCCTTGTTTACATTTTCTGTATCTGCGCTGTGAGTTTCTATTTTTCCCATCTGTGATTTCTCACTGAAACACTTCTGCAGTGGCTTCTTTAAAGTCCCCCTTGTTTGCGTTACTTCGGCATTTGTAGATTTCCTTTTCTCTTTCAAGTTGAGCTCTTCTTCCTTCATGACACAGTCAACGCTTTCATAGCGGAAACCTGGAAATCTTGGGTATCATGTTATAAGACTGTAGATCCTCTTCAATCTCTGTCTTCTCGGATGCTCTCTGATGCTGCTCCAGCTCGGAAATGTGATTGAACTGTCTCCTGACCCTCAGCTGGTGGTGAAATTCCGGGTGCTCCACTTTGCCTCCACAAAAGCCAGGAAGAGGAATTTGGCAGTGGGATGTGTTAGGTCACTGATGAGCAGAGGTGGGAGTTCAGGGTCCCCACATCTTGCTGCTCACGCCTTCGACAGGGATGGCCTACATTTCTGAGGAGGGGTCAGCAATTCAACTTCCCCTGACTCCAGAACCCTGAGGCAAGGGAAGCCTCATTACCCTCTGGCCAGCGTGAAAGTTGGGACTCCAGAGACATTTGCTGGAGAGTATAGAAGGAAGTCACAGTTTTTCTGCTGCACTTGGCTGGAGCAGAATGCTTAGGATCTAAGAGATTGTCAGCTTGCTAGGTTGCCCTTTTGTGGCTTTTTCTTTTCTTTTTTTTTTTTAAACTAAAAAAAGCAGGCTTTTCTTGGGGCTCTTTTGGTGACTATGACTGACATTTCTGGATTATTGGAAAATGTAACTCTAGGAACTCACTGTCCTATCGCCTGTGGATCTCTAGGTCCCTAAGTCACCTACTTTCTTCTATTATTCAGTGTCTTTCTTCTGTGTTTGTTTTATATGGAACCATGAGGACTTTTTGTGGGAGAACTAAGGAAAATTAGAACTACATCTTTTTCAGAAGCACCATTGCTTCAAGTTCTTATTCTGCAAACTTTCCCAGGTTTAAGGAAAGGAAGTTGCCTGATTGCATGTTAGTTGAATAATAAACTTAAAACTGAAACAAAACTTTAGTTGGAGCCTACCCTAAAAATCACAAACATCCGCCCCTGTATTTCAGCGTCACTATTTTGACACATAATGAAGTACCCATCTCATGGTAAACTGATAAGTGAGTTTAAATCTGCATTTTTCTGAATATTAGTCTTTCTGTTGGCCTGTTAACTTTTAAAATATAACCCTTCCCCAGGAAGCATACTGCTTTTTTCTTTCCTGCCACCCATACGTTCTTTACCACATATGTTTCCTGGACAAACCCTTATTCTTCCAGACTGAGTTTCTGTGTTTCTCCTCTAAAGGATTGCCCCCAACCCCGGGTTGGTGCTGGCTGCCCTACCCACACCCTCCCACTGAGGTCTTTTATTAGCACTGACAACAAATATACAATGTGACTATCATTTTATATCATGCTTCCTGATATTCTGTAAACTTCCTGCAGGCAAGAGCTAGATGTAAATGCTCAGGGTTGAAGAACGAGCACAAAACAGTTAGTTGAACTCAAAATATTTCCTGGGGGCATTCATTAATCTATTTGATTTTTGTCTTTGTTCCAAGGAACAATCAAGTGGAAGAACCTCAGCTCTCAGCCTGGTTTACCCCTGAGTAAGAACCATTATTCTGCTCTCAAAAGAATAATGTAGCTCCCTCTTAAGGGGTTTTGTCTTAGTTACTTTTTACTTGTTGCTGGGAAAAATACCCAATACTCAAAATGAAGGAAGGAAAGGTTTATTTAGCTCACAGTTACTGGAGGGTTCAGTCCATATTCAGCTGGCAAATGACAGCAGTTCATGCAGCAGAAAACAATGAAGAGCACAAGAGGAGCAGCAACTGCGGCGTTCATCAAGTCTCTCTCTTTCTTCTCCACTGACTGCGAAGATCTCAGAGCTCCTCCAAAGTGGCACAGCTGCTACTGAAGACTGGGACTTCTCTACGGAAGCAGGGCAGCTGGAAGCCTTTCTCAGTTCCTGGGCCCTGCCCACCTGCAGGGCTAGGCCCCTAAGCTGAGAACTGCTGGAGCTGATTCAGCCAAGTTGACACAATGTATCAACTAACACAGGTTTGCTTGTCATCAAACTGTAGATGCACTGGGAGGTTTCTGTGACTTTAAAGTTTTTACTGGTAGGGCTTTTCCATGGAAATTTAGTATTTGTCAAGAATTGGGCAATTGGGCGAGAGGAAGGCGGGTTCTCAGTTCAGGAGTGGTCACCTCAGGTGTGCAGGAAAGTAAGTCCTATGGCTATGCCATGACATCCGTGGGAACTCTTGCCTTCAACCAACATGGGCGCCCTTTCCTCATTATCAGGGACCAGGTACGCAGGACTTGTCTTAGGGACTTGAGGCCCTCAGGTCTCATGTAATGGCAGCAAAGGCTGTGGCAAATACAATAAGAACATCACTTGGACCAAATGGGCTGGCTAAGATGATGGTGGACAAGGACGGCGATGTGACTATGACCAACGATGGGGGCACCATTTTAAGCATGATGAATGTTGACCATCAGATTGCCAAGTTGATCACTGAGCTGTCCAAGTCCCAGGATGATGAAATTGGAGATGGGACCACAGGCGTGGTTGTCCTGGCTGGTGCCTTACTGGAAGAAGCCGAGCAGTTGCTCAACCCGGGCATTCAAGCCATCAGAATCGCATGCGGCTATGAGCAGGCTGCCCGCATTGCCACTGAGCACCTGCACAAGATCTGTGCCCATGTATGTGTGGACACGAAGGAAGCGGAACCCCTCATTCAGAGGGCAAAAACCACGCTGGGCTCCAAAGTGGTTAACTACTGCCACCGACAAATGGCCAAGATCACTGTGAACGTTGTCCTCATGGTGGCTGACATGGAGCGAAGAGATGTGGACTTTGAGCTCATCAAAGTGGAAGGCAAAGTGGGTGGGAGGCTGGAGGACACCAAGCTTACCAAGGGTGTGATTGTGGATAAGGATTTCAGTCACCCGCAGATGCCCAAGAAAGTGAAAACGCCAAGATCGCCATTCTCACGTGTCCATTCGAAGAGCCTAAACCAAAAACAAAGCACAAGCTGGATGCGACCTCAGTGGAGGACTGTAAAGCCCTTCAGAAGTTCGAGAAGGAGAAGTTTCAAGAGATGATCTAGCAGATTAAAAACACTGGTGCTATCATCGCTATTTGCCATTGGGGCTTTGACGACGAAGCAAATCATCTACTTCTTGAGAACAGCCTGCCAGCGGTTCGCTGGGTGGGAGGCCCCGAAATTGAGCGGATTGCCATCCCGACAGGAGGCCGGATTGTCCCTCAGTTCTCAGAGCTCATCACAGAGAAGCTGAGCTTTCCCGGCCTGGTGCAGGAGGTCTCGTTTGGTACCTCGAAGGACAAGATGCCGGTCATCGAGCAGTGCAAGAACTCCAGGGCCATCACCGTTTTCATCAGGAGAGGGAATAAGATGATCATCGAGGGAGAAAAATGATCCCTTCACGACGCATTGCGTGTCATCCGGAACCTCATCGGGGACAACCACGCAGTGTACGGTGGAGGCACTACAGAAGTATCCTGTGCCCTGGCGGTGAGCCAGGAGGCAGACGCGTGCCGCACCTTGGAGCAGTACGCCATGCGCGCACTCCAGATGCGCTTGAGGTCGTGCCCATGGCCCTGGCAGAGAACAGCGTGAGAACCTCATCCAGACCCTGACCTAGATCCGCGCCGGGCAGGTGAAGGAGGCCAGCCCCGCGCTCAGCATCGACTGTGCACAAGAGCACAAGCGACATGGAGCAACAACATGCCATAAAAACCTTGATTGGCCAAAAGCAACAGATCTCTCTCGCTACACAAATGGTTAGAATGATTTTGAAGATTGACAACATCCATAAGCCTGGAGAATTGGAAGAGTGAAGAGAATTTTAGAGTAAGATGCAGTAGCGAGATCCACTACTTGATTAAAGTGCTTTGACAGTTATTTATTATTACACCCTTTTCTGATGCTATCAATGCCGTGTTAAAAATAACTGTTTGGTAACGGTGGTTTCATTTGTTCAGAGCTGTGTAATTGTAGGAATACTGTTCCACAGGCTTTTTTTTTTTTTTTTTTTTTTAACCAGGGATTGAACTCAGGCCCTTGCACTTGCCAGGCAAGCTCTTATTCTACTGAGCTATTTCCCCAGACTCTCCACAGGCTTTTGTATTCATTAAAGGAACCTCTTTAAGCCATTAAAAAAAAAAAAAAAAAAAAAAAAAAAAAAAAAAAAAAAGTTGTCACACTAGGTCTGATTGACATTCCTTGTATTATTAGAAGAAACAAAAATGTCTTTACATGCAGCCCAACTTAGTTATGGCCTCTTTTGACTTTGGCATTGACACTCAGCAGAGAATTTTATTCTTTCTATAATTATATATTACTCAATTTTATAACTATATAGTACTTTTTTTTTTTTTAGTCACTCTCCTATTGGTCTTGTACTGTTGATAATTTGGTGATCATTGTAAGTAATTTTCCAACAAGTATACTTGTTTTGATTTTTTTTTTTCACTGTTTGACTTTATCTGTAGGGTAAACTCCCAGGGAAGAGCCATCAATTAAAAAGGTACAAATTTTAATTTGTTATTCATGTCATCCTTTCATGCTGTTAGTTCTATTTCTCTATAGTAATTTTACCGTTTATTTTCCAATCTGCAGTGAAGCAATGTTATTAAAATTTCCTCTATATTTCATTTTATCTATTTATTTGATAATAATCTAGTAAGGCCAAGCATTTATTATTGGCAAAACTGTTAGTTAAAATATCTTTATTCAGAGGCTCAGGAGATAGCTTAGTGACCTAAGTGTCTGCCTGGCAAGTCCCTGGTACCTCATGCCCTGCTGGCCCTGGAACCCTGAGCACGCCATGCCGGCCACCAAAACTGGGTGAGGTTGTGCACCCCTGTAATCCCTGTAATCTCAGTGCTACGGAGGCTGAGACAGGAGGATCGCTATGAGTCTTGGCTGTATAGTGAGGCCCTATAACAAATAAATAAATAAAAGATTAAAAAATTCAAAAAACAATCTTGATTCAAGCTGGATGTGGTGGTAAGTCTCTCCTCTCAACTGTCTGAGCAGTTTGTATGCACACCTGCAAGATGACGTCCACCATGAAGTCAACTTTCTTTTCGCCATGGCTGTATATCAGATATTCAAATAAGACTTTGGGGTAGAAACCCTGGGCAGGTCTGTAGCGCAACTTCATGCGTGGTGGTATTTAAAAAAAATTCATGGATGATGTCGTCCTATGGGCTGTACCTCAAACTTTCGGACAATTACTTTTGGACCAGCATTGAAGCTGAGATTTCTGCTGGCCATTCCTCTTTAACAAACCAACAGCCTAGTGACGGTGAGGCACACAGCAAGACCGAAGAACCTGAGGGAGGTGAGCCGATGGTCACGCCACTTTCACCACAAGATACTTCCTGGGGTAAAGAAGTGTGTGTGGTACCGTGACGATGGATAAGATACTCTTCAGGCTAAGGAAAGCAATTCCATACTGGGTATAGAGCAATTTCAAGGAAAAAGTGTTTTCCGTTCATAGTGGAGTCTAATAATCAGCTATCACACAGCTGGGTGGTCTTCTCAGAAAACAGTTGCATGGTTTAGGCTTAGAGTTGGCCCCTGCTAACTATATTGCCTCAGCACAGGCTATATAGCTCAACCTAAAGAAGGAGGTGTCCTTGTCACTAAGCCCATCCCCAGTGTTCACCCCTATAGCCAGGGCCACTTTGTACACAGGCTCTGTAGCCAGCATGAAGGTGACTAAGGAGAGTGCTGGTGGCCATCCAAGAGATGAGTCCTCTTCTCCACAGGGCTTCTGAGAGCCTGTTTCATAGGGGTTGGCACTTGCCTCCCAGGTGAAGAGCTGCATGTCTAAATTATGAATCTAATGACTTTTAAGTCACTTGACGTCTTTTACTCAACGATTTCTTAACACAGGTTTTTAATTGCCTTCTGCTTTCATAGACTTTTTTCTTTCGTTCTGGCAGCAAGCCTTTAATCTGATTTAATGAGGGAAGCAGGATAATCATCAAATCCTTTAATCTTCTCACACGGATCCCATTCCTGGGTATATCATGCCTTGGCAAGGAGACGCCTGGTCAGTTGAAGGTGGATTTTGAGATCTGTGATTTAAATAGAAGCATATGCTTATAATTTCTAAGTATAGAAAGAGTTTTTAAATCACTGTGCTGTTAGCTCCTGGAAATAAGCAGAAAAATATTCAGACACTAGACTACCTAAATTTAAATTGTAGTCAGAGCGCAAAGAAAATAACCCCCAGGCTCAAGAGAAAGAATGGTGTACACTTTTGAGTCTTGAAGCCTGACTCTGCCTTCTATTATTTGTATGATACAGAGCAATTCACACAGTCTCTGCCCATGTTCTCTCGTTGGGAAAATGAGGAGACCAATAGTACTTCCTTTATACGATGTTGCCAGGATTATGGCCTATGTGACAGTTAAACAGCGCCTGGCTGATAGAAGTACTCTATAGTCACCAGTTATTATTGCATGAACTTCTGCTGCCATTACTAAAATCTTGGCTCAGTTTGCATCTTCTTTGTTCAACAGAAAGCGTCCTGATGTTATAACAACAACAGACTGGCTCGCTCCAGTCATATGGGATGGAACTTACAATAGACGGATCTTGGACGAGTACTACGAGAAGCTGAACATTACCATAGGTCTAGCTGTCTGTGGCTACGGAAAGTAGGTGGTACTGGTGTCTGTCCTTTTTTATTTTGAAAAATCCACACAAGAACCTGTGTGTTTTCTATATCCAAAGAACTAATAATTCATGACCATCATTCTTTCTGGCTGTGTGGTGGGTATTTTTCTCTAGCCGTGGCTCAGTCCTTAATATTACTCGGGAATTCTCTCATTAATATCTGTTTAGCTCTCTTTCTCTTTCTCTTTACAATAAACTTTATGTTTATGGCTCAGCTCTGACCCAACTTTTCTGTCCTTCCCTTCTTGACCATTAGTAACTTATACTGGATAGCTTGCTAATGCTATACATTTTAGCAAAATAACTCACTTCTGATTTTTTTTTTCCATGTTTCGCAGATTGAGAGATCTGTATCTGAAACCATTTTTAGACTCTGCCGATAAGCACTTTATGGTTGGCCACAGAGTTATCATTTACATCCTGACCGATGACTTCAACAAGCTGCCTTACGTAGAGCTGGGCCCGCGCCGAACTTTTAAAGTACTCCCTCTGCTCCAGCCCGAGGTGTGGCAAGCCTCTCCTCTCAACTGTCTGAGCAGTTTGTATGCACACCTGCAAGATGACGTCCACCATGAAGTCAACTTTCTTTTCGCCATGGCTGTATATCAGATATTCAAATATGACTTTGGGGTAGAAACCCTGGGCAGGTCTGTAGCGCAACTTCACGCGTGGTGGTATTTTAAAAAACCTCATGATTTTCCATATGAGAAAAGAGCTACGTCAGCAGCTTTCATCCCCTTCGGAAAGGGAGATTTCTACTACCACCACGCCATTGTGGGTGGTACGCCCCTCGAGGTGTCATCCGTCATCAAACAGTACAGGGAAGGAAAAGCGCATGATGCTGCAAATAAGCTCACCAGTATATATGAAAGCTACCTAAACAAATACTTTTTTTTCAATAAGCCCACCAAGCTGTTGTCGCCAGAATACAACTGGGATCCAAATATTAAAACTCCTCCACAAATTAAATGTGTTAAGATAGCGTGGCAATGTCTTGATGGTTGTACGACTCCATTTATAGGTGAGCAAGTGGAGCACAGTAATTTCTCAAGTGAAAATTGAACAATGTTCCGGCTTTCTAAAGGAATTTAAGAGATATGTCATTTTCTACAATAAATGTTTTCTCCTGGCAATGTTCAATTGTTTCACTCAACCAAGTTGGATGAAGAGTAAATGGATTATAGTTTAATGTGATATTGCTTATCTAATGTAATATAATATAGAAAGAATATAAAGATATTTTTGGAGATATAATTTTTATTTTATTTATTTATTTATATATTTTTTAGGGAAGAGTCTACAGGGTTTCAGGGTCTCACTACTAGATCGGACTCATATTGATCTTTACAGCCTCCAAAGAGCTGGGATTACAGGCACTCACCACCACACCCAGTCTCAATTGCAGTCTCAGTGAGCCCCTGCGGGGTGGGGCTGGCACAGCAGGCCCAGGGATCAAACTCCTGCCCCCTGCGTCTGTTTGCAGGCACTTTAATCCACTGAACTATTTGGCCAGCCCTATGGAGATAGGATTTTTAAAAGAAACACAGATACTCTTGTTCATACACAAGAATTGTCAAAGGGCTATATATGTAAGGAAAGCAAAATTCATCAACTTGCTCATCAAATATTTATTATGATTTTCAGTGTTGGGCTACACATTGCTTGTAATTACTCTTTGGTCAGTATTCAATCTAGTATGTGACTGAACTTAATGAACTAAAGACATTCTACCAAGTATATATCTTATCTTTATCCCTCTAAAGAGAGATATCACTTTCATATCTCTGAAAATGCTCCAGGAGGGCTGGCAAGACAGCTCAGTGAGCTAACGCACCTGCTTAGGCAAACTTGGGCAAGCACAGGGACTGTGGCTCGATTCCCGACACCAGGTGCCACGGCAGCCCGCCTCCAGGTTGGGCTGAGCCAGCCAGAGTCTGGGCATAGTGGTGCACTCCCGTAATCCCAGCAGTGGAGAGGCTGAAAACAGGAGGAGGATCACTATGAGTCTGAGCTGCATAGTGAGACCTTGTAACAACCACATGCATTTTTAAAAAAATGCTCTAGGTGGCTTGGTTTTTTTTGTTGTTGTTGTTATTGTTTTTTTTTTTTTTTTTTTTTAATAGACATTATCTGAACTCCATGGGGAAGGTACTCTTTTGGCTGTGGTCAGGATAGCAAATGGCAAAACATAATTTGTCCGCAAGGAGCTTACGGCCTAGCAAGGGAGATGAGAGTATTCATAAATATTCCCTTTGCTAGTTTAAAAGCACTGTAGCTGCTCAGAAAATGGAGGCACTACCTGTGTAAAAATGTGTGGTCATCACAACTGTGTCATAAATAATCTCATAAATTCAGTGCAGCTGTGTAGTGTTCTGACGCTCGAATGAGTTATTCCTTTTGTAGAACAACATCTAATGTGTAACAGTCTTTGAATGCTAAGTATTATCGGCCACTGCACACTACACTGTAAGGAATACTGACAATGACTAGGGCGGGCAGACCTACCATGACCCATTTCTCCTGGCATCCTTGGTGACTGGCATTTCTCCTAGTACCCAACAGAGCACAAAACAGTCATCACTAGGTTACATAGCACTTAGGCCTCTGTCTTTCTCATAGACCTTTCCTTCCTGCCTTGGACTCAGGAAGCAGCCACACTAGAGAGGTCCACATAGCAAGGAAACCGAGGCCAACCTCCAGCCGAGGACTTGAAAGGGGCCTGAGGCCCCAGTCCAGCCTTCTAGGAGCTGAGCATGGCCAACAACCACACTGAGCTTGGAAGTAAATCCCCAGTCAAGTCTTCAGAGGAGACCTCACTGCCAGCTGACCCCTTAGTGATAGCCTGAGACCCAGAAGCAGATGATGCAGCTAAGCTATGCCAGATTCCCAACCCACGTAGTGAGCCAAGCCCAGTGTTTGCTAGCCTTCTCCCTCTACCATTAGCTGCAGAGGCAACCCCACTAAGTGTGTCTCTCTCTTAGTAGTGCTGTAGAGATTAAGCAGCCACCAGTACAAGGGGACCTGGAGAGCAGGAAATACCCTCTTCTCTCACAGGCCCGGTATCCTCCTCCCACCACCTAGCAGCTCCGGGAAGCCCAGGAAACATCCTTCCATCTGCTAAGCAACCCCAGCAGGCATCAAGCCAGAGGCCCACTGTCACTGGTCAGAGCAGGACCTGACACAGGGAACCACTCTGTGCCTCACGCTCAGAATCTCCTCTATTCCGGGGCCCGGAGAGATAGCTCAGTGGAATAATCGCTTGCCTGGCAAGCACAGAGGCCTGAGTTCAATCCCCAGTTCCTCCAAGAAAAAAGAAAAGAAGGAAAGAATCTCCTCTATTCCACTGAGCAGGGCAGGCCTCCAAAAAATACACTCTACCCCTCAGGCAGAATCAGCAGGATCAGGCAGGAATGGCACCAGCTGAACAGAGCAGAGTGGAACAGTCCTGAACAGGCTCTGGGTCAAATTGCCCCAAGTCACAACATTAGTCAACAACGATAAGCTACGTTGATAACACATTCCCATCATACAATGCAGTCAGGAGGGCACTGTTACCTGTTGAGCTACATGCCTTCCAAAAGACGTGCTTAAGTCCTAAACCTCAGCCCCTGAATGTTGCTGTATTTGGAAATGCGGAAAAGGAAAGATCACTAGTCAAGGTGGTCATCAGGGTGGGCCTTACTCCAATATGAATAGTGCCCTCCAAAAAGGCAAATTCTGACACTAACCCACATGGCTATATGAAGAGAGAGAGAGAGAGACTGGGATATCTACAAGTGAAGCATCACCAAGGTTAATAGATGAATGGTTGCCAAGGGTTAGGGATGGTAGAGATGAGGGGAAAGATAAGGAGATCCTTGCATAGTAAGTGACACGGGGCTCACCTTTGTGGTGGCGGGGTGGTTCTACATCGAGGTTGCGATGCTGGTTAGAGTAATGACAGCTGTGGTAAGGGGCTTCCTGCTCTGTATACCTGCTGCTTCATGACTGCTTTCTTTCTTTTTTTTTTTTTTTTTAACAAATTTCGACAATATTTGTTGTACTGCATAGTGTTGTCTTCACATTAGTTGTTTAGATTACCAGATATATGCATGCAAAATTTGGTGAAAAATTATAAGCAATTAAAAAGAAGAAAAAAAGGTTAGGCATTAACTGCTTGTTTCAATAGACCAGCAGGAAGGCTTTATACATTGATACAACTGTCCCTGGGAAACACTTTAGAGGTCCTTCTAAAGGTTAAACCTAGAATGACCTCATGACCTAGCAATTTTATTCGTAGGTATACACCCCCTAGACTTGGAAAATAGGTGTTCAAACAACAACTTGCATATGGATTTTCATAGCAGCATTATTCACAACAGTCAAAAATGGGAAGCAATCCAAGTTTGAGTGGATAAACAAAAATGTGATGTGCACACGCACACACACAACACACACTAAAAGAAACCAGTTGTCAAACCAGGTGCTGTGGTGCACAACTATAATCCCAGCACTTGGGAGGCTGAGACAAGAGGATTGCTGTGAGTTCGAGACCCACCTACACTACAAAGTGATTCCAAGGCCAGCCCAAACTACATAGTGAAACCCTGTCTCAAAAAAGCAAAAAAAAAAAAAAAAAAAAAAAAAAGGGGGGGGGTCTGGGGAGATAGCTTGGCAGTCTAAGTACCTGCCTGGCAAGCATGAGGATCCTGGTTTGACTCCTGGTACCACATGTGGTGCGGGCCACAGAAAGAGGGCATGGTGGTATTCGCCTGTAATCCCAGCACTGGGGAGGCTGAGACAGGAGGATCACTTTGAGCTCACGCTGCATAGCAAGACCCTGTACCAAATAAATAAATAATTTTTTAATAATAAAAAGAAACCAGTTGTAAAAAATTAATACTATTAAATGATTCCATTCATATAAAAATGTCCAGAATAGGCAAGTCTTTAGAGACAGAAAGTACATTTACGATAGCTTTCAACTAGAGATAAAGAAGAAGGGAGACAGCTAAAAAGTACATGCTTTCTCTCTTTGGAGATGAAAATGTGCTAAAATTTACCATGGTGATGACTTGACACGTTTGTAACTGTACTGAAAAATCCTTTCAGCTGTCCACTTTAAATGGGTGAATTTTTAAATATATGAATTATACCAAATGAAGTTGTGTTGTTTAAAATTATTTAATTTAAACAATCCAAAGCCTTCATGGCTTAAACAGTAAATTCTAAATTCTAAATTCAAGGAAGAAAGAATTCCACATTAACCAAGCAATAAGGTAATAGTGAGATGGCTGATCCACATCTTTTTGGAGGCAACTGCCAAGGGCTGTGATCAGCAACCTGTTGGGGGGAATGATGGGGAATAAAGGAAAACAGGCAATTTTCACAGTACGGGGGGACTCAGAGGAGACCTGTCTCTAGTAGACTGGCTGTACCACCTCTGTGGTTGACCCACTTTTATTAGGCAGCAAGAAGCTGGGGGAGGGGTAGCCCAGGTTCCATGGAAGAACAACTATAGAGAACAGGTGGAGAGGGGATAAGTTCATGAGGAACCAGATTTTTTTCTATGCCCAGCTGTCTGTATTTTGACAACTGTGGTCAGCAGATGCTATCTTGCTTTAGGAATGCTGAGTTCAGGCATTGCATCCCTTCCCCAGGAGGCAGGTGTCCTGCGTGCTGCCCTGCTCCTGAGGGCAGATGACAATGACCTTGAGACTATAAGGTCTGAATTACATAGCTTAGTCCCCAACAAGCTAGCAAACTGTTACACTAAAAGCTGGCAAACGTAGGATGTCGTATGTATGCCTATCATTCCTAAACTCAGAGGCTGAGGCAGGAGGATCACTGTGAGCTTAAACAAGCCTGGGCTTTATAGTGAGTTCAAGGTCAGCCTGAACTATGTATATGAAGACCTTGTCTCAAAACAAAACAAGACCCCCCCAAAAAAAAAAGTTCACAATGATAAGAAAAATCACAAGCAAATCTGTCATAAAAAAGAAAAAAAACTAAGAAAAATTTAGGAATCTAAACCAAGGAATATATTACAAAGATAATTCACCATGACCAAGCTTTATTTATTC